CCTTAAAAATGAACCCTTAAAATGAAATCAGTTGTATACTCAAAGGCTATATATATATATAGCTCTCTCATGGTCTTCTAGTCTTACAACAGTGAATCACAAACATGAGCAAATGAGTATGTGTGTGTATGTCTACTGCTTAGATGAGTTTCTTTTTCTCAAAGAAAGTTTTCAAGTGCCAGAATTGTAGACCAGCCACCGATAAACAAACCACAAGCGACCCGAAACTCAACCACGCCATCTTCGAGTTTGTGGATCTATTCAGTTCTTGCATTTCCTCTTCCCTAGTCACACCAAACCAAAACACAACAACAAGTATAAACCTCATTATCTATCTCTCTCTTCAGACCCAACAAAAACTAACGCTAAAAGGTTTGTTCTTTGTCTAATTTACCTTTCACGAAGATAATACATCTCCTCATGGATGGAATTAACAGTGTCCATCAAGGTCTTAACTTGATACTCCATCATCTACAAAAACAACATCAAAGATCCAAAAACAACTAGGTTAAGTAAAAAACAAACTCTCTACACTATCTTCTTTCATTTTCACATTCGACAAACCCTAGCTTTTAGATCTTGAAGCATAAAAATGGCATACATACTCAAATATCATCAAACCAAACACAACCTAAAACAACCTTTGAAACCAATACTATAAAGACAACTTACAACAACTTGACTCTTCTTAGCCACATTGGTCCACTCCTTAGAGTGAACACCAGTCTTCCAATCAAAATCAATGGTCAACGTAGTCTCCGGCTTATAATCAACGGCTGTGATGCACGCTACGTAACTCCCATTTTCATAAGCAGTAAACGAGAACTGACCAGCCTCTACATTATCAGCTTCGTGTAAATTCTTCCCTTGTGGTGAAATCTATACCTTGACGATGATGATCTTCGTTAGGGTTTACGATGAAGTATTTGCCAACAGACATGGAGTTTTCGTGAATATCCTCTCCGATGCACTTCGTTGTCGAAGACTTTAGCTCGTAACGCATTGATAGTGTCCTGGGATATAACAACGCAATGATCAAAAGCAAAATCGAGCTTCGACGAAGATCCATGGCGGCTCCAGAGAAAAGACAAGAGAGAGAGAGAGACAAAATCTTGCAGTAGTTGATAGAATCCATGAACAAAGAAAACTTGTGAAATGATTTTCTATTTTTCTCAATCCGAAAATGTTGTTACAATTGGTCTTATATACAATTACACTAAACCAAAGCTAAATCACAAAACAAATAAACCGGATCTAATTACATGGTTATCTGATCAATTCTAAGAGCCCCCCTCAAGATGGAGGTGCATATATATTAAGAACTCCCATCTTGGACATGTTTTCCCGAAAAGGAGGTGGATAAAGAGCTTTGGTCAGGACATCTGCAAGTTGATTGTCTGTGCGAACATACATGGTCTTGAGGATCCCTAATTCAATGCATTCCCTGACTTTGTGGCAATCAAATTCAATGTGTTTCGTACGTTCATGAAACACTGAATTGTTAGCAATGTGAAGAGCTGCAGTGTTGTCACAATACAAGTAAGCAGGGAGAGTAAAAGGAACCTTCAAAGCCTTTAGAAGAGCACTTAACCATATCAATTCTTTAGTAATAACCGACATGGCTCTGTATTCTGCTTCAGCAGAGCTCATGGAAACAATATCTTGCTTCTTGGATCTCCAGGAGACTAAAGAATTACCAAGGAACACTGCAAAACCAGTAACAGATCTTCTGGAATCACGACATGTACCCCAATCAGAATCTGAAAACCCTCGAAGTGTAAAATCTGCATCTGTACCATAAAATATTCCTTGACCAATAGTACCTTTCAAATACCTCAAAACTTTATGAATGGCCTGCAAGTGAATCAGCTTAGGAGCACTTGAATACTGAGCCAACTTTGAGACAGTGAAAGTGATATCAGGTCTAGTGATGGTAAGATACTGCAATTTACCAATCAATCTGCGATACTGCTTGATATTTTCAATAGTATCACCTTCAGCTTCAGAGAATTTCTGATTTGGCTCCATAGGAATGGAAGAGGGCTTGCAATCTGAAAATCCAGAAGATGCCAACAAGTCAAGTACATATTTCCTCTGACATAAAGAAATTCCCTCTGCAGTCCTGGCGATCTCAATACCAAGAAAAAATTTTGGTTCTCCTAAGTCTCTGAGTTGAAAATAACCACGCAGTTGTTGTGTAAGCTCAGATGCTGCAGCCTCAGTAGTACTGGCAATGAGAATATCATCCACATATACTAAGACCACCAAATAATTGCCATTACTGAACTTCACAAACAAGGTGTGATCACCATGACATTTCTCAAACCCCAAACCAACCAATGTAGTAGAAAATTTAATAAACCATTGCCTGGAAGCTTGCTTTAGCCCATAAATAGACTTGTGCAGTCTACACACGGCATTAAGAATCCACGACTTCACCATACTGTTGCATCTGCTCCATAGACGGAATTTTGAATCACTAACAGGTGGTCTTAGCAGAGATCCATCAATAAAACCTAGCTTGTTTTTTGCATCTAGGCTGATTCTCATCGCTATTGACGAACTATTGTAGTTACTACCATCAAGAACATGAGCTACAATCGATAAACCTGGATGATCGGAAGAGTGAAGAAACATCGGATTTTCGAAAGGATCAGAAGCCTTCGATACAGATCCATGAACTTCATACGATTCCGGTTTGAGAGAAAAAGGTTGTTTCATGCTCGCAAGCTTTGGATCTTCATCGATCCCTGAATCACGAACAGATTTGACCGCAGATCCTTCATCCTCCGGTGTTACACTTCTGTTTCTCAGTTTTCCTCCTTTCTTCACCATTTTCTACCAAACCGAAGCTGCGGAATAGCAATCGGACGTGATAAAAGAGATTTTCCGGTGAAAAATTGAAGAATCTGAAGATAAAAAGAGGTGAAATCACCAGATTTTGGAGAAGAAAATCTCTGATACCATGATAGAATCCATGAACAAAGAAAACTTGTGAAATGATTTTCTATTTTTCTCAATCCGAAAATGTTGTTACAATTGGTCTTATATACAATTACACTAAACCAAAGTAAACCAAAGCTAAATCACAAAACAAATAAACCGGATCTAATTACATGGTTATCTGATCAATTCTAAGAGTAGTCAATGTTTTGTTGTGCCGTTTCGGGTAAGACAAAAGAGAGTCAAAGACGTTCTTTGCATACGTGTAATTATTTTATTGGTGAAGACACGTGCACAAGGTCTTTTTTTGTCATGAGGCTTTATATATGGACTGGGCTTAGTTTTGTAATGGACTTTGACTTCTCCCCATATTTGGGCTTAATATTGATTTAATATAGCCGATACAAAATTTTTAAAGTAATCAAACATTTCCATATTTTAAATGGTGAAAATTAGCATCTATACCACATTTGGCCCAATTCTTTTTCATCCTACTACATTGCAGGTCTATTTATCACTCATACCACAATTGAGGTGTGTAATGACCATTTTGCCCTTCCTTTTGTTTGCTCAAATTTCGGGGATAAAATTCATAGATTGAGCATACAAAAAGAAGTTTATATACAGTTGTCCCCGAAGTTTGAGTTTCTCCATTATTTCATCTTATTTTTGCATGTTTGCTAGTTTTTGTCCCTCAATTTTAATTCATTGTTCTTAGATTTTAGTATGTAAACTCTAATTGCGGTCTTTTTATTTTGTTGGATGTTTATATTTCGTTTGATTAATGTTCCCGAATAGATTTTTTTGTCCCTCAGATACTTGTCCATAAATGTTACATTTTATCTGCCACATCAGCAGAGGGCAACACCGTCTTTTTCATACCACAATACCACTTGAATGTGGTACAAGTGCTAAACCATTCTCCATTGTGGTAGAGATGCTAAGAAATTTGAAAAATGTGGTACATTTGGCAAAAATCCCTTTTAAATTTAATAATCAACTTTTAATTTTTTTTATAAGATGATCCAAGAGAGATAAAAATGAGATCAATCTGTTGGGATTTTCATGTTTTTCTGATTTTGAAAAATACACTCTTTGCAAATTTTTCGATATTTTTTTGAATAATCTTATTCAAAGTATGTATTTTTCTTTAGAAAATTTCAATCTATATGCTGATATGCATATGCTATTGGAGTAGCTTGGATTCACAAGTAGTTGTTTAGGAGATCGATCCTTTGGCCTATAATAAATAGAGGTCACTGGTTTAGATTTGGAGCTCTCTACTTTGCACCGTGATATGGCAATGGAATTTAGCAAATGCCAGTAAAAGGAGTAGTGACCACCTTTTTATCAAGTGCTCCGACAGTTTGAGCATCTAGTCAGTGAATCCACATATTAGGACTCCCGGCCATGCAATTCAGATCTTGGGGCTTCCTTTTAGCTTGGTGGCTTTAAGTAATTCTCTGAGTAATGGCTCCGTTTTCGGACTGCCATTGAGAGGCTTCCAACCCATGGAGTATTCGATTGCTCCTGCTCGTCAAGATGCTTCTATGGTTACACTTTTGTTGTTCTTCGAGATCATGTTTCACTTCATCTGACAATGCGAGCTTGTTTGCTTCTATTGATGGACTGAATTTCCGATTTTATCTTTGCTTCCATATTTTAAATTTTTTCTTCCATGGGACTAAACCTTTAGGTATTGCAATCCTTGTAAAACCTAAACATTTTCATTTTTAATGAATATTTACATTCTTAGCAAGGAAAAAAAAAGAGGGAATTTTTGTTTGGTGACGTAGTTCATTTAATCTTGCACAGCCTATCCTCTGAAGGAAGGTTCGCCACACATTTTGTTACTGTATTGGGAAACAAAGAAAGCAAGACTTCACTTTAGATGATGCATGCATGCATGATCACGCATGGGGCCGTCTTTCTTTAATATAATAGATTTGTTTTCGTATATATTTTAGTGTTTCGTATGACTACGTCGTTAAAAATAAGACACTTTTCTGTGTTATAATAACAAAGCATGTGCTTAATTTCATAGGTACTTCCGAACGATGACATTCTTCTCTCCCACTCAGGTGTTCTTGAACTACCGGGGAGCGCAACTGCGTTACAGCTTCGTGAGGCACCTCATTGATGCTTTTGAAAGGAATGAGATAAACTTCTTCGTAGACAAATATGAGCAGAGAGGCAAAGACCTCAAAAATCTCTTTCTTAGGATCCAAGAATCGAGGATCGCTCTGGCCATCTTCTCTACGAGGTTTGTACTATATATTCTTTCACATTATCCAGAAGATTCAAGAATCGTAATCATCCTCGTCTTGATTTTCAGATACACCGAGTCGAGCTGGTGTATGGATGAGTTGGTGAAGATGAAGAAACTTGCTGATAAAGGAAAGCTCCATGTCATTCCAATCTTCTACAAGGTCAAGGTAGAAGACGTTAGAAAACAGACAGCTGAGTTTGGTGACAACTTCTGGACGCTCGCAAAGGTTTCGAGTGGAGATCAGATCAAGAAATGGAAAGAAGCCTTGGAATGTATCTCCAACAAGATGGGTTTGTCGTTGGGAGACAAGAGGTATTTTCCACTCACACTTACTAAATCTTCTTCTTCTTCTTATACTGAATAAGGTATATATACTTTTTGTGGCAGCTCTGAAGCCGATTTTGTCAAGGAAGTTGTTAAGGCGGTTCAGAGTGTTGTAGCAGTCATTGGACTTGAGGAAGGAGAGAATCATTTTGGGAAAAAGAAGAGAAAGGATTGCAAATGTGAACTTCCTGATTTCAAGAAAAGCAGAACCAAAAAGTTGTGACGTAAGAAAATGTTCTGCAATTTGTATGGATATAGACTCTCTTTTCTAGTTGTGTTTTTTATTGAGGTACTTTAATTTTCTCTATATGTTGCTTATTAATTTTCAACGGATTTAGATTAATAAATTAGCTAAGGTCTTATATCACCATTCTCTGTTTCCCCTGTATCAATCTTTCTCTTGAATATCCACAAACATATATATATTTGACAACAAATCATAGCTAAAATCAAGTGTGAAATGATTTGTTACCTTTTCCTTTTTAAGTTTGTGTTATATTCATTATTCACTGGCGAGATCCAACTTGAGATCCAACGGTAATCAAAAAGATGACTATAATCTGCTGAGCCTATGTTTGTGGATATGTGACTTTTTAGTGATGTCTTTGTGAAATCCTAAAAAGTTAATACTTTGGAATATTTTTGTAAATACTTTTGTTTGTCGACTTTGGTCATCTTTATTTATTAATGTTTAATTTCACTTTGGTCGTCATATATTATGATGATGCGTCGATATAGACTTTGCCGCATAAAGACTTTGCCCCCCCTGATGTCACTCAGACACTCACTATCAAAGTTCCAATATCACTCGCACACTTATCCTTTTGGCTTTTATAGCATTGCAGTTTTATTTCCACCCTTCTTAATTTTAAGTTACGAACAATCCTTTAATGGCTTAGATTGCTTTTCTTGTCAAAGTGGACTCTTCCATTGTGTCTAGTTTGTAATGGGCTCGAATGTTATAGAATCGAAACTCATGTGACAAAAAAAAAGTTATTATTTAATAGCATTGCAACCTATGAAAATTTCATTTTTACCCTTCTGAATTTTAGTAAATCTAATACAATATAGTTTAATTTTACTGATTAATGGTTTTTTTTTTTTTTTTTTTTTTTTTTTGACAACTTTGGATCGACAAAGCCCGATCCATAGCCAATCTCTACTATGGAGTAACGCGACTTAGTGGAGTCGAACTCCGGTGGGGAAGGCGGAGTCTAGTGGACTTAACCACTTGAGTAAAGGCACATCCCCTTTTACTGATTAATGGTTTTGGAGTAAATTTATGAACTTTTTCACCATTTTAGTATTATTGTACGTTTTAAATTCACAAGAAGTCGTTTTTAATTTACATTTTATATGTTTTATTTGTAAATATTATTATAGTGTTGGAATTTGGAAACTTACTTTATTCGTGAATATATTATTTTTATTTGTATATATATTTATTTTCACGTACATTATAAAGAATCAAGCATAAGAAAAAATGATTTCGGTTTGCTTTGGTATATAGCGGTGTCATCCGGTTCACTAAAGCTTAACTAATGCCCTGAATGTTTGGTAGTTTTTTATTGGTTTTTAGATTCTAGTTTTTGGATTTTGGCTTTTAATTTTTGATTTTTTTGGTTTTTGATTTTTGGTGTAGAATTTAGTTTTTGCAAAATTTTGAATGGTAATTTGTTTAGTTTTTAGTTTTTATACATAATATTAATTTTTAAACGTTTTTAAGTTATATATTTTTTAATTTTTGGTTTATATTTTGTGTTTAAAAATTACTAAAAAAAATGTGAAGTAAATTGTTGGAAAAACCCACAAAATTTGGTTTTTGGATTCTATGAAGAAATAGATAAAATCTGCCAAAATCTGATTTCTCTATTTTTTAGAAAATCTACTAGGAGAAAATCCGGGCTACGCCCGGTATATTTGACATTTGATATTTTAAAATTTGTTAAATTTGTTTTAATTTCTTTAGTGTACATTGTGAAAATTTTCATGTGATATTGTATTTAACATTTCAGTATATACATATATTTAAAAAGATCAAAATTTGTAAGCCTTATAAGAATCTGCTATGCTCTGTTTTTACTTTTTCCTATGTTTTGCTACATCCTCTCTTTCGTCTCTGTAAACAAAATAATGGCCAAAGAAAAGCATACTGGTTACATCTTGTATAGACTTTAAAAAGAATGAAAGACTTACATAGTCATGGAACGCCTGAGCAAAGTCGTCCAGGGTAAATGGCCAAAGACCAAAAACGTCTGTGAAAGTGATTAAGAATCTCTACACCTAAATGTTTTCAACCAAATTTAAGAAGTTAGGGGGTGACTAAAATAAAGTAAAAACTCGTTTCTATGTATATAAAGTCACATTTTTCCTATGTGGCAAAATAAATGGTTTGGGAGAATGTTTAACTGATTAATCATCAACATTAAAGAAATTTTCTTTGCATTCGAGGTTTTTGGCTGCAGGTGAAATTGTCAAAATGATGCTGTTGGGCTCTAAGGAAATTTTACTAAGCATAAAACAAAATAACTCCCACTCATTTGCTCTACAAAGGAAAAATGTATGGAGAACAATAATATATTATCCAAACTATAATTTAACCTGGAAACAAGCTGTATATAAAAACGAAGCTTAAACTGAAAAATATACAAACCTGTAGCCTGTATGTACTCGCTCAGAAAAGGCGTTGGGGTGGTAGCAACATTAGTATAATCTTTTACGGAAAATAAAAAAATATTTGGAGAATCGTTAAAGGAAAGAATAGTGGGCTAGTGGCTGGAATTTAATTCATTGGGACATCAGAATTTGGAGAACGAAAGGGAAATCTAGAAATTGGAAAATTAAAAAACTCTAGAAACTGTAGCAAAGTGAAAGAATAACGAAGGGACATGATAGAAAACCTAAAAAAATTCACGTTTACTTGCGACGATTGAACCTGATTATCCACGTCGTACGTCTTTCTCGATGGTTCTTTGTAGAACTGTCTTAAACCTGAGTAAATGAAACAAAAACGATAGAAGTTGAAGGGATAGAACGTAAACAATGTAATTAAATTTTTCATTTGTACATTGAAAACAAAGAGAATTTACAGGGAAGGAGACGAAGAGATAAAACAAAAGGCAGATTACGCACGTATTTGTTTGTTTCCGTATGTTTTAATTCTTTATTTGGACATCATTGGAAATGGGCTTAAATGTAAATGGGCTTCATTTCATTATTTCATCGTTAATTTTACAGAATGCATAATTATAATTATAAACTTGCTGAGGTGGCGGGATTTGAGAAACACCCAAAATTTGCTGATGTGGCACATGGAGAGGATGTTTGTGAAATGCTGATGTGTATACATGGAGAAGCTTCAATGAGCTTCTTTTATTAGTAAGAGATTTTTTCTAGAATTGTGAATGGTTAATCTAAAAACTGGTCCAAAAACTGGTTCCATTCAACGCCTAAGTCGTTTGGGTTTTGGGCTGTGTAACAGAAAGAAGCCCACAGTCAGCTCAAGAAGCCCAGAAGGAGTTATTCCGTTAAGGCTGCTATAAAAAAGCTAAGGATTGAGGAGGATTAGAAAGAAACTAGAAGACACAGGTTGATTAAATCTTGTAACACTCAGAATTTTGATTCTGCTTTTAGTGAAAATCTCAAAGACATGCCAAGACTCTCGATCACAATTAGTAGTCGAGAAGAACTTAATATTATCCTTTTTACTATTTTCTTCTTTGCGAGTGAGCTGAGCGAGAATCAATCCGAAAGAGTTGCATTTACACTTCTCGAGAGTGTTGCATTAAAAATTTCACTAAAATATAAAATTTGATCATAGGTTAATTAACATACGTCTTTTATTATTTGAGGAAAATTGAAATATATGGTCAAGAGAAGTCATACGAATAAAAGATGAGATAGAGAGCCAAATGGTCGAAATTAAGGAAAGAGAGAAGGAGAGTTTTTTACATTAAAGTTTGAGTCAAGGGGTAATGGACAGTGATGCAATCCAGATCTAAGAAAGAAAGCAATTTCCTATATATAGTTACTGTAAAGCCTTTTTTTGCATAATTGATTATAAAACTCACAAAATGTATTGTTTGAGCTTTGTTTTTAAACGTAAGGAGACATGAACTAGAGGCTGTTGTTCCTGGAGCATATCAGAGAAACTTTACTTTCAGAAGACAGATAACTGGGGCTTATTCGTACCAAACCAAATCTCAAAATGAAACTGAGAGACACCAAAAATCATCACAAAAAAAGTAGGTTTTTCTTTGCCTCAAATAAAATGAAATCAGATATATATATATATATATATAGCTCTCTCATGGTCTTCTAGTCTTACCACAGTAAATCTTATACATGAGCTCAAATGAGTATGTGTGTGTAAGTCTACTACTTAGATGAGTTTCTTTTTCTCAAAGAAAGTTTTCAAGTGCCAGAATTGTAGACCAGCCACCGATAAACAAACCACAAGCGACCCGAAACTCAGCCACGCCATCTTCGAGTTTGTGGATCTATTCAGTTCTTGCATTTCCTCTTCTCTAGTCACACCAAACCAAAACACAACAACAAGTATAAACCTCATTATCTATCTCTCTCTTCAGACCCAACAAAAACTAACGCTAAAAGGTTTGTTCTTTGTCTAATTTACCTTTCACGAAGATAATACATCTCCTCATGGATGGAATTAACAGTGTCCATCAAGGTCTTAACTTGATACTCCATCATCTACAAAAACAACATCAAAGATCCAACAACAACTAGGTTAAGTAAAAAACACTTAAAAGCTACAAACTCTCTATACTATCTTCTTTCATTTTCACATTCAAAACGAGACAAACCCTAGCTTTTAGACCCTGAAGCATAAAAATGGCATACATACTCAGAGTTCATCAAACCAAACACAACCTAAAACAACCTTTGAAACCAATACTATAAAGACAACTTACAACAACTTGACTCTTCTTAGCCACATTGGTCCATTCCTTAGAGTGAACACCAGTCTTCCAATCAAAATCAATGGTCAACGTAGTCTCCGGCTTATAATCAACGGCTGTGATGCACGCTACATAACTCCCATTTTCATAAGCAGTAAACGAGAACTGACCAGCCTCTACATTATCAGCTTCGTGCAAATTCTTCCCTTGTGGCGGCATCACCTACAATAATCACAATATAGAAAAAAATTGAAAAACAAAACTTCAATGTTAAATAAAATCCACGAAGTAAGATTTGTGGTGAAATCTATACCT